TTTTTTGGGGTTGTGATTACAGATTACTGATTGGTTGTGTTCTACACTTTTGTTGAAATTAGTGAAATATACTGGAAAACTAAATTGGAATGGAATTTGACTCTTCTTTTCCCCCTTTTTTGGTTAAATTGTATTGCTTCGCTTAACCTTAGTTTGAACTTAATTGATGTAAAAAGAATTCAATTCATGCACTTTTCAAATTATTAACCTCTTTAACTCAGATTTTAAATAAATAAATATTTCATTATTTTTAAACAAGTTAAATTAATAATGAAAGTTGTGTTAACTTGAAATATATATATATATTTATTCATTTATTAGTACAATAAATTGAGATGAATTATATACTCCTGAATGAGATACATGTTAATTACTGTTGAGCTTATATTGAAATATAATGATTCTTAAAAATTATAGATTTTGTAAGCCTGTGAAATAATTAATAATTCTGAACAGAGGCATTTATAAAAAGTTTTATTTTGCTGCGGGATGTGTTCCAATAGGGTTTCGACACATGTCCATATTTTATTTGGTAACTTTTTTTATTTATAAGTTATATTTAAAAAATCCTTCTAAATCTCTCCGATATATGGATATAAAAAAACTTTTTTTTTTCTTTTCCTTTACTCTAAAAGTATATAACATAAGTTATTAACAAAATTTCCTTAAAAACTTAACATTTTTAAAATTATCAAATTCCGCCCAAAGTAATTTATAGATGAGCAAACTTGAACGTAACTTAATTGGTTAATGTATTATATATTTATTTTAAAGATTAGAGGTTCGAACTCTAACCTTATTAAGCTAAAAATGAAAAAAAATTGAGGGAATGACAAAATTATCAAAGGTAATTGTGATGGGTAGCAAAAATATTTTATGTATTTCACAAAATGTCACTAGTTTTTCAAATTTTCAAATATAGCAAAATATTTGAATTTTTATTTTCGGAATTTTTATTATTCCAATTTTACCCTTATGATATTTGATATACATCCAATCTATATCTGATATACCTCCGATATATCTCTTATATACTTTCGATATACATCTAATGTATCCTTAATATACATCTGATGTACACCTGAATCTGGTCAATACTAGGGTATTCATTAAAACAATTTAAACTTGTAATCAAGTTAAACTCCCTTAATCCAAATCTTACAAAGTTCCCATTTAGATTGAATATCAATGCATCTCGTGGGTTTTTTTCATATATTCGACGAATTAGATGCACTAATAACTGTAGTGGACATCTTCTAATATTAAATGACAAAAAGTGTCTAAATGATCAATTTCTAAATATTTCTATTTGGATCGGTGCTAGTATCTTGAGAATGTTATCTATTGATTATAATTTTGAATATTGTTGTACTGTTGCATTAAAATACATATTTTATTCTTTTGTTAAAGTAAAATCCACATTATATCAGATGTAAATCAGACTTTCACATTAATATTATATCAGACAATCATATCAGTAGTATATCAAACAGTCATTTCGGTAGTATATCAAACACTCATATCAATAATATATCAGACACTCATATAAATAGTATATCGCATGGATATCAGATATACATATCAATAGTATATCACACACTCATATGAGTAGTATATCAAACATTTATGTCAATAGTATATCATATTTTTATATCATATGGAAATTAGAGGGAAATCGAAATGTAGGGTTTTATGGGCTTGGGTTTGGGCTTGCAAGATAATGTTGTCATTTAGTATATGGGCCTCCGTTATTTTTGAAAAAAAAATGCTATATTTGAAAAACAAAAACATGATTGCTATTTTGTTTATTTTGCTATTTTTCTTTTTACCATATCCC